CACATTTGTCCTGCTTTGGACGATTCCAAAATCCATGTTGAGCACGGCATCACCTTCCGTACTAGGGAGTTTATCATCCGTTATCACAGCAATCGCTGACGTAACGATGTCCCTCCCCAATTATGGAACTTGCAGGCAAAATGACATCCCTCCCCATATCTTCCCCAGCTCCACTCCATGCTTGTTACCATCCTAGCTTTATAGAACATGTTTCTCAGCTGCCCTCGATGGCACCTCTCCTCCTTGGATCAAACACTCGCTTGTGATTAGAGACGGCCACTAACAACACCTCACCGGTTCCACCGACTGTCCTGATGGAGGTTCAAATGATGCCCCCGTGACAGGGCCGGCTCCAGGGTTTTTGCCACCCCAAGCAGCCAAAAAAAAAAAGCTGTGATCGCGGTCTGCGGCGGCAATTCGGCAGGAGGTCTTTCGCTCCGAGCAGGAGTGAGGGACCGTCCGCTGAAATGCCGCCGAATTGCTGGACGTGCCACCCCTCTCCGGAGCGGCCGCCCCAAGCACCTGCTTGCCAAGCTGGTGCCTGGAGCCGGCCCTGCCCCGTGACTGGCTTTCCCTAGACAGAAAGAAAATAAATAATGTAACCAAGTACAATTTATACCAGCATGACTAGTCACCTGTTCACATGGGTCTTTCTATCAGGGCGTTTTCACATCACCAGCCCAACTCCATTTCACTCCATCCCAACCCCCCGGGAACTTTCCTCTCCAGGCCCAATGGCCTTTCAGCCGGCTCCCGAGGCGTCTCTATTGCTTCCGAGGAGTCTGAGAGCTGGGACAGACTTGGCCAGTTCTGCTCTAATGGGAATTCGTCCCTGCCCCGACTCTTCCGGCCTCGACGTCCACACCCACGTTCTGTTCCAGCTGCCGAGCTCCCTCTCCCCTAGTATTGTTGTTATTTTAAATGGGTGAGCTGGAAGGTTCTGCAGGGTCACTGCAGCCCACAGCCCGGGTTTCTAACCCGCCAACCCCCCCTGTTATCCATTGCACCACACGGCCCTTCAGAGGGACTGAGCCAGGTCGGGTTCTCCTGTCTCTCA